GAAGAAATTGGCGAACTCTTCGGACAGGCTTATCGATGTCCCACTCAATTCACTTAACTTCGCATTGTTGATGACGATTTGTGTATTTTTGGACCGATTCCTGTCAGTCAATGAATCCTGCAATTTTATGCTCGTGTCATGACCTTTAGTTCATGCCTGGTTCAATTTTGTCCATCTTGGTAAAGTTTGAGGAATGTCGTGGCACTTGTGAACACGATAGTTCCACCAGCTCAATCTACTTATGCGAAACAAGTAGGAAAAGCATAGTTTGGTATTCAGTCATGCATCGCACAACTAGATTGTAAAAAATCAACTGCTCGCACTTTCATGGAGATCACAAATTAGTAAATTCGACTGGATGTTAGTTCGATCGCATACGCATGAAGAGGAATCTCATAGTACATTTTACTAACGTGGGGAAATCATTTCTCAGTAGCTACCTTTACTGAATGACAATGTTATGGACCGACCAGGCATCGTGTAAAATCAAGAACAGACTTCGTAAAAAATCCTTCAAAATTCTGACGTAGACGCTAGACAACTATCCATGGAAGCTGGAGAGGTCAAATCTGGCATTGGAAAAGAGCCGGGATGCTCGGTGTGTCCCGATGCTGTGACACCATTTCGCTTGTCAACGGGAACGCCATCAGTGTGGTCTCGAAACGCGCAATGCGTTGAATCACTTACGTCAAATTTTTCCAAGTAGGCCAGTGACCACAACTGTGCCATGCCTGATTTCCTCTCTTCATCTGCGCATGCATGGTCGTACATTGAAATTTGTCATGCAGAGTATGATTGTCAAGGCAATCAACACCAGTGAAGATTGTGTTTTTACACTCTGTAATATACCACGACGTACAAGCTGCGATCATCGGATATTTAAACAGCTGTGATTTTAATTTCTGTTGACTTGGCTGTATCTCATATTTCACCCAACCCTTAAACCTCTCAATGCTCCAGATATTGATCATCGAATGTGGAACACATGACCACACACATTTAATGTTAAACAATTGTCGCTTACGGCAAAGCAATTATGAGTGAATCGCGGCAGATCAAGCACAGGCCGCATTCTTGTCGTTGCAAGCAGAACGTTTTCGCAATCACAGCTGAATATGCTTGAATAGCATTGCATATTTCTGCTGTGTTTTATGACAGGCTTGCTGCAAGGAAATTAGTTATACAGTCGTATTGGTGTTGTTGACATTTACCTACTAACACATTACTGACAGCAATGAAAGCAAAAATGCATGACTTATTAATTCATCACGCTGCATATTTTCATCGCAGTCAACTGAACCGGCGAACAAGCCAAAGAGCAATTCATTATCAAACATTTCTTACCTGAACGGGCAATTTAGTCGCCAACCTGCTATCACTTGAATCTATAACTGTTTCTATGAAAAATCCATTCATTCCGTGAGTACGTAAATCGCCACCAACATCAGCACCATCATCTTATTCATTATCATTGTCGTCGTCGTCGTTCTAGTCCTTACAGATCTGCATTTGCCTCTATTTAGCAATGCCAAATCGCTTCAAATTCAAGTCCTACCTTAGACATGTGCGCTGTCCTCGCGATTTGCACACAGGCATCTAAACATTGGTTAGAGAAATCACCTCTTTGTTATAATTTCCGCGGTGTTATCAATCATGAAATTAGTTTCACTATGTACAATTCCATGTCCATAGCAATTTGACGCATTGCTCACAATTCCGTCAAATGTCCCACGACATCTCCCACGCCATCATCACAAAACTTAGGTCAATACGTTCACACCAATGAAAAGCAAGTAACCAGCAGTAATCCCATTCGGTTAAGCAATTTGCCTAGTAGAGGCAACACTTCAGTCTTAAGCCCAATCATCCACCTGTCACTCGTCGTAGGGGTGTTTAAGCAGTAAAACGCGTCTCCCAGTGACCCACTCGAACGTCAACACTGGTGGCGTGGCACTAGGCCATGTCGCCCACACACGTACACTGCGCATTTCCTGAGGCACAATGCACACACCACATGCATTCATGCTTTCGAAAACATACATCCACACAAATGGCGACTACTTCCAACCTCCACCAAGTTAATCTGCAACAATGCTTCGTTTGGACCTGCGCTTGTTGAATTAACACTGTTGGTGATGAGCATTGTACCAGCATGATGCAATGCAGAGGACACCGATAAAGTGAAAGTACGGTGGTACAGTGCACGTTCTCTTAATTATCAACAATTGACTTGACGCCTGCCACGTTTGCCAGCTTCTTGACAAACAAGCAAGTGCAGATGTGGTGTGCAACCGAAGACTGCTCATCGCCTTGTTGCCATCCTCATGCATTCAGACATCGCTCAAGTCCTGTGCTAAGCTACGACTGAAGCTCTGTATAACGAGTGTACGACCAAACATTACGGCGACCACTAGCTCAGCATTAAGAGCCGTGAGCAAACTATCCGTTGATAATCGTCACGCTTGGAAATGCCAAATACAGCCTATTGCAATGCAGCACGTATTGCTCGATTTGGGGTTTCTGGCTGTACTGTAGGAAACGCTTAAATTTGCTGTGATTCCGTTTGAGCACTTCGTCTTTCTTTTGAATTGCAACTGGCTGTTGTGGGCCCCAGCATGTGGTGTTGGACCAGGCCGAGGCCACCAAGTTAACCCCGACCCGATTACGATTAACCACGGCGTCCTACTGACAGCCCCACTTGTATCATTCCTTCTTCAACCATCATTTCAAATCCTTTCTTGACCTATATAAGTAGGTACATTCAGAAGGATCACGCGGCTTTTGACTCAGACATTAAAAACTCACTCGGCCATTAGCACTGTCATTTCTTACACCGGTTTGGGAATATTGTGTCTAGCTTTGGACAAGGTATCTGGGGTAGCATTAGTCACTCTTTGATGCATTCTAGGTACTATTTCAATGCAACAACGACACGAGTAAGGCAGTTTTTTACCAGAAAAAAAAATTAATTTACATAAGCGCACGCTACGAATTTGAAAACGTAAAATAGTGTAGGCAGTTTTTCTACAACGCATTCACAATGCATTGCAATGAAACACTGCGCATAACAAGATAATTATTCTTGGTTCCACTGGGCATTGGAAGAAGACAGCAGATCGCCACTTGTTCGAACGTGCCTTACGCTGAACACTTTATGCTCAATACACAATAGCAAATAACATGGATATATCGTCGAACGCAATGATTTGTATTTTGTGATGAGTAAATTTGGCACATAACAAAATACAACAAACGTGCCTCTTCTTAGCCTAATTCTCCCATTAACAAAATCGAAGTCACCTACCCGTGGGGGCACATTGATTTACCGATTGCAAGGAGTTGTACAATCTCATCGGCACAATTACAGCACTGTTTATTTTTAAAACTAGTTTTATCGCTATCGCAACACTGACTGTGTTATCAGGTATTTTTCTAATTCCCTACAGAGTATCACTGGTTATGTGGAAGAATGATTTCAACTATAGTAGTATCGATAGCATCGAAATCTCCAATCTCTCCAAACTGCAAGTTAAACCAAGTTCTGAGTTGCAAAAACCGCAAAGAATTCATGTGCACTATTGCATTGACATGAACAAATGTATAGGTGGCATCTTCACGGCTCATTTCTGTTATTAGCGACCGCCGTAACTCAAGTTGATGTGTGCGATGACTCCCAGCACCACTCCACAATTTACTGAGATTTAAACGCCATAACAGTCTGGCACTACTTTCGTTTACATGGCGTGGTGGGTAAATAGACATTTTGTACACTCTAAACCTCCTCTGGTAATTGACAAATTAGGGCAAACCCCTACACACACCCATTGCAGAAATGTTTAGTCAACCCAAATGACGTAATTGACCTTTTCTTGACCACATCACATATATTAGTCAGTTTTGCGGAGAGACTTCATGAAAAAAAACCAAATTCATGACATTCTACACTCGCAAACCACGAAACTTTACATTTTTGTCGCTGAATAGAGATCTGTCAGAGATCTTTTTGTTCCCCATACCTTCCTACACAAACGACTAGCCCCCATTTTTCACTATTAAACCTACTTTCAACACCCAAATTTAGCACAATTCACTTTGCGCTTAATACAATACAATAAGACGAATTTGCTTAAAATTTGCTCCAATTTTGCTCCGATTTTACCTTTGAGCATTCATTTTGTTTATATGCTTCGGTAGTTAGTATTTAAGAGTCTCATCTCTGACCTAAGTCGATGCATACGCTCGATTGCCGTGAAAAGGTTAGCTTTAGCATTTGCAATTACCTTGTTCTGCTTTACCTTGAAACACATTGCCTTTATTTTAATTACCTGTTTTTAATATAGTTGTTGTCGGATCTCGAAGGCTCATACAGACACTGTTGGTGAGCGAGAGGTGTTAGTGATATTGCTGTTTCCTGAACATGCACCATAAAATGGACAGTATACACCAGTTTCCGTAGTTTATTTAAATCCAATCTATGTGCAGGGCATTTGCATGGCTTTCTTCTAATATTTAACTGTTCAGGTAAAGGATTCAGCATATGAGGTTGAAAATTTCGTTGTCAGCAAAATTTATTGTGGTAATTCTAGAAGACAGTAGCCAATGATGTCATTGACTAATTTGTACGGTTGAACAGCATTTGAATGCCGCTTGGTACATGTAACAACGTATCACATGTAGTAATGTCAGTTGGGATTTCCAGTGCATTGAAGCAAAAATTGAATGTGAGCAGCTGAGAGTTACCAACGCCAAAATAAGCTAGAAATGGTGGCAAGTAAGCAAGCGAATGAGCTAATGTCGCGGATCTTCTGCATACATAGATCGGTCTAGTTGGTTTAATCTAATTCCATACACAAGGAGACCGAATGCAGCACTTGATGAATGTTAGATTGTTCACCATGTGGATGCAGACACGATTTTGTATAGTTCACATGAAGCTGCGTATTTTTCATAGTGTTTTTAGCTTTGTGGCTAACTTGTGTTAATTTTTTTAAGACAGTGAAATGACTACTTTTTTCGACAACGTATCTGCTGAAGTACGGAAAGAGTTGCAGAGGATCGCGAATGCCATTGTCGCGCCGGGTAAGGGTATACTGGCCGCGGATGTGAGCGTTGAAATGAAGGGTAAGTAAATCGCCTAGAGTAAATCTAAAACTGCCACGATGAGTTGGTGCACTTATAACAACCTGCTTCGTACAAGTGCTCGTGAATGTTCCGAGCGACTCCCGATTGCAAGCCATTGAATGCTCAGTTAGTGGTCTCAAGTTCAACCTGCAGATTTTCAGTCACCAATGAGTGTGTCTAATGTGTGGTATGAATTGGAATGTGTGTCTGTGAATGGCAATGTCTGTTGGAATGTTATCGTGAAATAAAATTTGTTATTACGTGTGTTCGTAGTTGGCGGAAAAGCACAGAGTAGGAGCGTACTCCCATGGTTACCTGTCGCGCTTGACGATGAACAATGCCTGGGATGAGATAGTGTCACTGAGCTCAGTATGCTGTCTATCAGCGACTACATGTGCCAGCAGTGTTGTATCCTTATGATAGAAATACTTAGATATGTCTTAATGCAAGCCTTGAATTTGCGTTGACTTTTAGACAACCAGATGATGGTCAACATTGCTGTGGATGTTAATGCGATGACGAGGATTATTACCGAAGGAATCGCTGCTGCAAGCAAAGGCGGATTACCTGCTAATGCAAGCATTTCAGGTAGGGCCACATTATCTCCAGAGAAAGGCCTACTTGTAGATAAGAGCAGCTCATCATAGAAATAGCATCTCTGAGTTGGTGGAGTGTCATGAAGCAGCCTTTGACTGACTCAATTGTTACTGTTATTGTCTGCTGACAAATTGCAGCTGCTGACGCAGTCATCTGTCATTGCCTAGTCCCAATTGTATTGAAATGTATCTTGCAATTGCTAATGCACTCTTGATTTGAAATACACGTGGCTGCATTCCTGAAAAGTGTCCCTCCAATTCTTATTTCCATTGGTGTGTGTAGGAGGGGGGAACGAAAGTGACAAGGTAAGAGGCTGAATGTGGTGGGACTGGTGGCAAGTGGCTTAGAGGTGGAATGGTCAATGACCGTGTAACGAGCTGGTGCAACATGAAGTTGTTGTGGGTGTGTGGTTTGCGCATGTGCGGCATCAGTAATGCGTGAAGCAGACGGTAGGCGGAAGAGAATGAATGAATGAGTTAGAACGAAGGGACAAAGTTGTGCCTAATTCATTGATTCGGCGTGTTCACGAGGTGCACCAAGATTAGCCTGGACTAAGACGGGAAATGGGCAGTAGACAGAAGTCGGGTTGGACGAGTACTGTACTGACAGTCACTAGACCTGAAGAGACAACAAGTCCACCAGCGCTTGTCTATGAGCCAGTGGGCGCACTCAAGTGTTAAGGTGACATTGCCAAACATCTGCAGTACTGAACAAGCTGTGTGCACTGGTATTGAACTCTGGATGGTATCTGGGTAGCTTCGGTCCAACTACCTGAACGCCTTCAATGCCGGCATGCGAATTCGATGTTTGAGAAATCGGTTATTCACACTTACCGCGCTATTGGGCCACTGAGGTGATCTCGCGTGTGTTCTTCCACTCTAATGGGTTTTAACAAGGTGACAGTTCATGCTAAAGTGTCTTTGATGCAAAGTACAACGTCCCAGTAATTGCAAGTGTGCAGGCACTACCAATTGGTGTTTTCTACGCTATAACTAGTGCATTCTAATGAATCGCGCGCTGTCCCGCATCACCTGCCATAATTATCAACACATACCTAATTGGGCTGGACTTGCTACGATTAATGTTTTTATAGGTCGGTGTGCAGTTTAAGCTGAGAATGTGTCAAAACACATCATTACGCGAGGTGTCCTAGAAACTGTAACTTGTTGAGATGGAGTAGACCAGGTTCCCGAGGTATGTGGCGGAGACTAACCTGATTTTGTTGGCAAGATCCGTGAATGAACTGCAACTATGTTCAGACGGTCGCATTGAAGGAAGGTATCTTTGAACGCTATGGTGATTTTTACGTGACTTATCAAATTAGAGTTAGGAAATATATGGTCACAGTGGTCTAAAAGCAAATGGCCATTCACAGACATTACAGTTGTAGGGTTAGTGAGTGTGTGTGTGCGCCTGTGTCAGGTGTTTGTCCAGTGAATCTGAAGAAATAAGCAGGCCATAAAGAAACACCTAGTGCACTGGCTGCCACGGAGTAAATTGGTAGCCATGGTCGACCACCAAACATTAGCGCAGGTACACGTAGTTCAATTCGAATGTTTGGCTGAACATCCGAGTATTCTGCGTTCCCCGGACTACCGCGTACACAGCAGAGTTTCAAATGCAGTAGCCTGCGTGTCGTGCACAATCAACAACCAAGCGCTACCCCTACTACCACAGGATGTGTGGGAAGTTGAGATTTGCTGACCCGAAAGCCTCTTGATCTGGAGATTGAGTGCTGCGAGGGTGCAATTCTGCATCTCCTCCCAATTAGGAGTTTGTTGATAATTAGAGCAGTTTGAATGCACCAGTTATGGCGTACCAGGTCCAGCCTAATTAGATATGTGTTGATAATTATGGCAGGTGATGCGGGACAGCGCGCGATTCATTAGAATGCACTAGTTATAGCGTAGAAAACACC